CGTCTAGAAGAGCAGCCCCACTCCCAGCACCTCTCACCAGTCAAAGGCACACCAGAGAGGGATCCACCCAGCTCTGCACTTTCATTTTCTTGTCATGGTACTTGCACTTAAAAATTAATTCCTCATGTAAATTAAGAAGGTAGGAGGTAACATGTTACGTAACTTACCAGTAATTTCCAGATGGACATTTCTCATTTAGGCCCCACTGCCATTCACACAACTTTCTGTGGCAGTTACCTGGGGCTCCTTGGGCTTGGGAGCTTCTGGGAGATCTGAGAAGCTGAGAGCAGTCGGTACGCAGGGGGACAGGACTCTGAGGAGGAGCTCATGTCACCTTATCAAGGAAACTGTTGTGTGAAATCTTCAAAACTAGTTCAGGACCTTTTTTATTGCTGTTCCAAAGTACAACTTAAAAATTTGGAGACAGGCTCCTATAAAAGTTCCAGAGGTTGAAGTGAAAACTTGCATTCTGGGTGGGTAGGTTAAATACATATGTAAACTATACTGCACTATTTCCTTATTCCTTTTAACATTTACAAATCACTGGAATGTTACACCTAACATGTATGTGCATTGTAAATATTACAGATTCCTGTATTAGTGCCAACAATGAAATGACACAAAATGTAATCTAAGGTGCTCAGTACTATATGAAGTCTAAGTGAATAACTAAGAAGTTTGCAAAGAAAATTCATATTATATATATTTATAGAAAAAAATAATGATAATTACAGATGCTATTTCTTCATTTTCAGATTTTGGACTGATTCATATTTGGATGGGATAGATAAATGAAATATGAACCTACTCCACATTTATAAGAGTATAGTGAATATTTATATTTTAGAGGAAAAGAATATATTTAATAAAGTCATTTATTGGATTTTTGTGAGGTGAGCTTACTTTGTATCCAGACAAACTATCTGGAAGGCTGTCCTTTGGTTTTAGGCTGGGAGAAATATATTTAAACTTCAGTGCTTCTGTTAAGAATTCTAAGAATGTTAATTGCATTGGTGGAATGACTTAAAAACTTAAAATTTAAAAAAAAAACCTGAAATCCCACAAGGATGTTTCAAGGCAGGTCATTCAGACATCTCTGCTGAAGTTGCAATGCTTTCTCTGTTGCTTATACCACTGCTTAGGTGGTAACAAAACACATAAAAAAATTAAGAAAAAGCAGAAATTTCTGCTCAAGCTTCTGCATTCAAGGACTGAGGCCAACACGTGCCTTTTTTTCTCTTATGAATGGTTATGGGTAAAGAGATTTTTTTTTTCTCCTTTGATTTAGTTCTTAACTTAGTGGCCCAAATAGAAAAGCTAACTGTGGGAATTTAAGCCTTTTCTTTCAGACTGACCCAAATTATGACAGAACAACCTCATGGAAAGCCTAAAAAGGGATATTCCAGAGTTTCACTCTTTTCACAAAATAATGACTATAAATGGAATGGTCTTATCAGAAAGTTTGTATAGTAGCTTCACCATGAGAAAGATTGGGATGCATATTGAGCAAAAATGTTATTGGAAAAATGTGATCTAAAGTGTTTGTTAAAAAGAAAAAAATAAAGCTGATCTGATTGTGTTCAGGGAGTCATACTGGTGTTTCTAATAGTGCTGCCCTTGAAAGGGAACGAGCATCTCCCTTAAGGTGTTTTAGAAATCAGAACAAGACTCTCGACATGCTACCAAGCAAATCACCACCACAAACACCATTACAATTGATCCTTTGCAAATAACAAAACAAATGTTTTCTTTCTGCAGAATGTTAGAATTTCTTCCTCCCACAGGACATGGCAGCATATTTCATCCTGCTCTTTGCATTGAGAAGCTCAGCTGATTTGAAGGGGAGATTGATCTGATTTCCACCTGAAAGCATTCTCAGTGTCCTCCTACCCATGCTTAAAAGTTAATTGGAGCTTCTTTGCTTTCAGTGGAAGCAGAATTAGAGCCTAAAGAAATTATGTGCTCCAGATCATTACACTGCCATTGATTTCTAAATTTATGTTATTTTCCATAAAAGTCAAACTGGCAGATTGATAACTAGCTATTTACTGAGTCTATTTACTATATAGAGAGACCATTAATACAGTATATATTACATATTTATATATACATATACACACACACTGTGTATATTATGGATTCTTTTTAATTCAGTGGTGACTTCGATTTTAAAAAGTAGGTATTAATAATAAGCTTGCAAAATTTTGAAAAACTCAGCCTGCTTGCTATAACCCAGAGTGAACCCCAAGACTAACTAGGGCAAAAATTTAATTTAAAAGAATGAGGGGAAAAACATTTTAAATATTTAACAAAGATGATAACCTCCTGTTGGACATAATCACCTGCTTTTCCCACATGGGATTGACTTTTCATTTTTCTTCCTTCATGAGAATTTCCATGCTTGTGTAAACAATTAGAGGTATTAGGAAACAAATTTAGAAAACAAATTCCAAGGGAGAACTGTGAATTGGGCAAAGAAGTTTGTGAATTTGCATTAGTCCCCAAGCTAAGTTGTGTGGTAGACCAGTGATACTCATCATGTCATTGCTGTAATATTGCAAGTAATCATATCACCTGTCTTATCCCAGTCCTGTGGGGAATGTAAGCACATAACATGGATGGATGATATGCTTCTACATATAATACATAATGTTATTGGATTATGCTATGTTATGTTATGTGCTTATTATATAGGATGGAGGAATTATGGATAAACCAGAAATGTGTACTGATGAATATGACTTGTATCCTGATTTGCCAAAAACATGAAAGCAGGCGCCCAAAAATATGGATTTGGTGTTCAGCAGCAACAAACAAGAAAATAATTTGAAGTTCAGAGGCAAAGAGTAAATGTTGCATTCTGCATCACTTAAGTTACAGCACATCAGCTGAGCTGCAGGAACTCTCAGTGTGGAGTTTTGGAACTATGACAGATGTAAAATAATTTGGTTTAGTGCTGTTCCAGTGGACCAGGTCAAATTATTGTGCCTGCTTTTTTGTAGGTTAAGAGCATGGACAGGGACAGTCATCACAGCTCAAATGGGGCACAGTGTTATTAAGCCACAGTAATAACCCAGCTACTACTTGCCCTAAAAAGTCAACAACACAAAGAGCAAATGAGACATGGGTAGCAGTGTATTAGTTCTGCACTGGGCATTGTGCAAAAACCCAATATATCAAAAGGCTTATGTTTCCCTAACTGCTTTCCTGCTGATTATTTCATGCCAGCCTTTAAGTCTACGGAATTAATTAAACCAATAACCATTGAGTTCTACTTGAAGTATAAGAAAACCAGTTCAAAGTATTAATTACTTTCCTGAAGGTATTTTCTTTGCTCATGGCAGCTAGCCTCCAGGATTTATGTAGAGCTTCTGTACTTTTACTTATCAACTTATGTATAATTACTAACTACAAAGTTTTTCTAATTACAAATATATAAAATTCCCCAAATTAAGCAGAAAATACAGCTTTCAGTGGCTTGCTTTAGTATTCAGACAAAAGTATCAGCATTTAGGCTGAAGAGATAAGACTACAGCTTACAGCTTTTCTCTCTCTGAAAGTAGAGATTTTCTTGATTCACTATAAGATGTTAAGAAAGGTTAATGTCTTGATTACTTTCCTGTTTTCTATATTGAATGCAAAGAAATGTGAGCCATACACAGTAATCATTACGTTGGAGAAATTTTGTGCATGCACTTATTAAATGATTATTTAAATAACTCTCTTCATTGCATTTCTATTTCACCAAATCACTAAAACTGGGAAGCTGTGGATGTGTGGCATTCTGCAGACAAATGTAATCCATTTTTACAAGTAGTTATGTTTTTCCTGACACACATAGTACTCACTAGAGCTCACTGTCACAGCAGAACAACTTCAGAGCTCTCCTACTGCAGCTCAGTTAAACCAAGTCCACACCCACCCAGAAAAGGTCTTGTAGAGTTCAGGACAATGGTAAACTTGGGAACAAAGGAACAGAACAATTAAACTCAAGGTCCTGTTAGACATTAAAAACCTCCATAGGGCTCAGCTTTACACCAAATAGAATTAAGCAAAGAATAATGTCACAAAATCAGGAAGGCTCTTTAGAGAATGCATAGATTTTACAGTATTAAGTCTAACCTCCACATGGTTTAGTTCGATTACTTTTCCACAACATTACATTTCATTTATATTTGTATTGCTTAATCTATTTATCTATCAGGATGATACAGCAAACAACAGCCCTGCATCTCTATCAGTTTTAATCTCATTAGTTTATATGATAAATAGGAAATCCTTAATACAGAAAGCTTAATAGGAACTAATCTCAACAAAACACTAACTTGAATAATTACATTAGTCCCAGCCAGGTACATGCCAGAGACTGAAACAAACTGAGGCCAAATTTAGTATTTTACTGTGTTTGCAACACAGCTAGAAATTCTTTTTAGTCCTTACATTTCAGCATAGCACGCCAGCTCTTTCCAGTGCTCACCATCCTCATTACCACTATTGCTTTGATTTTCTCCTCTTCCAGGAAAATAAATCTCAGATCTCTCCTTAGATATTTTTCAAAGGAGTGTTACAAAGAGCATGCAGGAAATTACACTGAAAATTCAGCTTGTAAAACAAAGAAACTTTGTTTAATGGGACCTTGCATCAGGTTTCAATCCATGCTTTTTTCCTTCCTTATATTACAACACAGAGATAATTATGATTCAAATTCTGATTTTGTTAGTTTTCACCTGCAGAATAGGAACTGTTCTTAATCAGTGTTTAAAATGTTAATGGTCGATGCTGTGAACAGCTGTTTATACAAGAGCAAGCTGTACTAAGTAGAATAGAGATCTTCACACAAAAAGGTAAAACAAAATAGTAATTATCAAAATTAAATATGTGGGGTTTTTTATTCATATAAAAACCAAATACACTGGTTGAAAAATATACAAAGCTTGATAAACCAAATCAAGCTATATTCCTTTTAACAAACATAATAAATACAAATATAAAATACAACCTTTTTTCACTCGAATTTAAAAAGAAATTAAAAACTTTCATTATAAAAAGTTTTCAACCTTGCTCCTGTGCTTGAAGAATGAGTCTATAGAGTTACACTGACCAAAGTCCTCCCAGTGTGCAGATCTGTGTGTGCATTGGGCAGTATTAATGCTCCTCTAGTCAGAAGTGCTCTGTCTCCACACTCCTGGGAAGGTGTGAATAGAATCCACACAGTGCCTCTACTTGCCAGTCTTCTCCAAAACCCATTCAATCACCTGGGCAGATAAATGAGAAAGCAAACAATTTAAATAACTCCTGGTTTTGAAAGCAAATTAAGAACATGTCACAGACTTTATCAATTCTTTCTTTAATCCTTTGTCACCATCTGTGTGGTATTAACTAAACAGGATTTAAAAGCAAACTACTCAAGAGGAGAAAGTGTTGTTAATAATCTGAGAGGAAACAGCATTACCCTAGAATTGTATTTAATCTTGCAGAATACTTTGTCTTTAGGAAAAAGCATTTTTAGAACCCCTGAATTGAAATTCTTCTCCCCATTCTCTCCATATACCAGCAAGAAGGTGCAAATAATGCCAAACAGGTCACACTTCCAGCAGTAAAAGTTCCTAAGGCCACAGAAGAAAGAATAAAGGATAATTTGTGCACTTCTGTATCTACCACCATTATCACTGCTGCTTCCCAAACTGAGCAGTTGTTCAGACCACTGACTAGTCCTTGGGAATTACATTTTTGTAAAGTAATTTCAAAACACTGTCTTAATACAGGGAGATGTAAGCAGTTTAGAAGAACACAAATTTTAATGCCCTTTACCAACAGCAAACATACAAAAAACTACCAATTTTCTGCCCAGACAATGATGGAGGTGAGAAGCAGTATCAGCACAACCCAGTTCAACACCAAACATCACAACCCATATAGTTTTTGAAACCTTATCATCCATACAAAGCAATCCACAAAGGAATACAGCACAGAACACAGCAAATATTGCTCTCATAGAGTAAGTTCTCAGAGGATCTAGGAGCTTTCTTGAGAGTGTGTTCTATTACTTACCTTCCTCAGTTCAAATTCTTCCATTTAATTTACAATTATGAAAACTGTACTGTAATTATGCATGACACTATTTTTCCTTTTTTTTTTTCCAAATCATGGAGTCACTTCAGTGTACGTCTCAGAACTTAAATCAGTTACTTAATTTCTGGGGGAGTATTTACTTCTGTCATTTGCTCTGTGCTGCTGTTCATGCAAGTCCCATGTTACACACAAATAACCTGACCTGATATCCCTTGTGCTTACCATTACTCTCAAGCTTTAAATAACTGATTTTCACTGCTTCTTTTAAAAAATTTATTTCCTTTTATAGACCTGTTTATTACTTCCTAACCTTTGAAATGTTATTTCCTTCAACACAAGAAAAGAAGAATTCCCTAATGATTCTAATTAAAGAAAAATCTCATCTCTCTTTTCTTTTGTTTGAGTGATGTGGCAACATTTATTGTCTTCATTTCCATTTCTCACTGTGGCACATCATCTCAGGAGCTGTAACTAAAATACCATCCAAAACCTGGAAATTTTGCCTTGGGACTACTGACTGAGAGTTTGTGTGAGAACAGAGTGAAACGAGACCCAGAGCCACAGCTATGCACCTCTTCATCTCTTAAAGCTGTGGACTAAACTATCCCGTGGCTATGTACAGGAACAAATAAACACATGGTCTTACCTGTTTAGCATTGCTATTTGCTGTTTTCTTCATTTCATCAAGAAGTCCTCTAGAAGTTTTAAGGTCCTAAATATGAAACAAAAAGCCACAGAAGTCAGCAAACTCATACGGTCACTCTAAATTGGATTATAAGAGCCCTAATAACCAAGGTGGTGTTACACTTTTATCACCTTGCTCAGAACAACAGAAGAATTATTTGACTTTGCTTTTTCAATTAAGAAACAGGAAATAATTTGAATCTATTCCAGGTTTGCATGGTTTCAGGTTTCCTTACAGAAGTCCAAACCTAGTACTCAATTATGAGTGAGTCTTCCTAACCTTCTGCACAATTTCCAAAACTTTTTTCCTCAATGATATTCAAAGTTCTTAGTCTTGATTGAAATTTTGTTTCTATATAAACATAGAAATCAGATGTGAGCTTACCCTGTAATACAGAGTTCTGGCAAAGAAGCAGACATCAGAAAATAAAATCAGTGCAGAAAAGTGAAAAACCTAGAATGGCTTTTCTATTTTGCAGTCCATTTAATGAGTCCAACCTAATCTATTCTTTTAAAGCAAGAACAAAACTTTGCCTGAAGAGAAAAAAAAAATCATTTACTATTTGTCTCCAGAGGAAAATGATACTATGTTACCATGCTTTTGAATTATACAGCACACAAAAGGATTCAAAGGACTCCCACGGACCTGGAGCTCCAAGACAGTTCAGGAGAAGAAAATCCCATGACATTTCTCTCTAGAAAGGACAGGATCACTGCCATATTTTTCCTTTTCTACTTGGAATGGAACCACAAACCCTGATTTGCTCTACTCACACATCCCTACAGTAGCCCTTTCTGATTTTGGATTAAGAGATCTTCCTTCAGGGCATATTTCAGGGAGATTTTGGGAGCACTTACAGAATGACTGCACAACTGTGTTCCAATAATTTAAGAAGTTGGTGCTCATCAGCAAGATGTTCTGATTGTGTAAGCATCCAGTCCTGTTCAGCTTTCATTTAGCTTAAAGCACCATTACTGAAGTTGACTAAACTGGGCTGGTTCACCCATAGTGGTAGGTTAAACACATGCAAATGAACAGAACATCAGCTCAGCTTGTGAGCAATAGCTTTTAATCACTCCATACTGTAATTAACTCGATTTTGTGCTCAGATTAAGTAACATGGGCTTCAACACTAATTCACAGTCTCCTAGGTATTATGGAAAGAATTCTCATCTGCCCCTAAACATGAGGTTGATGCAATTCTACAGGGTGATGCTGAGCCAGTATGTTAGATAATAGAGTACATCATGTCAGGGAACTGCAATTTCTGAGTCAGTTCTGTAAGCTACTTATTTAGCCATCAACCTTAGAACAAGGGAGAAGCTGAGCTGTCACAGCTACAGCTGGGAGATACTCTCTTGCTTCCTTAGCTATTGCTGCTCTAACAGTGACCTGACCCAACAGGCCCATGCTTCAGTACATTATTTCACTATGTATAAAAGGCTGCTGCTTTAGAAGGTTTTAAAACAAGCAAAACCCCACCAAAATATATTGTATAACTACCTTCTGCTTTTGACAACAAGTCCAAAGGTTTCTTCACACCATCCACAGGTTACTAACACACCACTGGGAAATATTATCTTATTCAACTCTGAGTACCCCATATGCTATCTCAAGTTTTATTGAGGAGTGGCTTCAACTAAGAATAAAGAACTGTAAGAGTGTGTCTTCTAGTTACCTTTAAGTAGAATTTTGATATCTCAAATAGACGCTGGCTGCATGATGCAAAGCACTTATGATCCTCTGCAATTCCATGTTTTTGAAGAGTCTTAGCAACCACCTCCTTCAGCATCTTGGAAACAGAAGAAACACACTCAGAAGTTCATCCCAACTATTGACACGAAAAATTGTCTAAGGAAAGCAAAAAAGCCCAAAACAGAAAAGCTGATCTTTTGTGATCTTGCCTGACTTTAATCTATTGCCAAACACAATCAGCTCACTGCCTGAATTTGAGCAGAGTAATTTAACAATCTATTTCCATTTCCTTTATTTTAAAAAATTAAGAAAATGCTTACTTGTCAAGGATCAGTGAGTATTCACATGGAGCTTGGAAGATAAATGAAGTCAATACTATGTTGGGTTTTTTTCTTCTCCAAAATAATATATATAAAAAGATCATTTTTTGCTATACTGATATTCCCTTGTTTGATGAATACATATTTCTTAAAAAAATTAAAAATCTGATGCTAAAGTCTCATTAGAAAATTTTCTCTGACATTCTTTGTATCAGAGATGTTTAAACTCTGCTGTAGGTCTCAATGAGTCACACCAATTGATGCTTCCTTGGACCATTCCAGCTTGCCTTTGACAGTACATTAACACTCTTGCAGTGTTCTCCTTGTACCCTGGGATTAGTTTAAAATTAGTATCACCAAGCCAGAAACAGTCTTGTGTATTGTATTTTAGAAGAGGCATTCCTAATATACACAGCTATTAAACATTATTCCACCAAATTATTTTAACTGCTATCATAATTAATGAATTTATAGAACTATTGAACTCTCTTTATTCTCAGAATAGGCTGTTCTTCCACAATGCCTTTGACCCTTCCAGCACATATATCTCTTTGGTGCCTTTAGTTTTATATTAATTATCTATATTTCATAATTCCTATTAATTAATTTCCACCTTTTGTATCCCTCATTGTTATCTCTCTCAGCCTTAATTCCCTGGGCATGATAAAATTTCCTTACACACTTTCTCATCCTTTGCTTCTACAGCACTCTCCTCAGTACCTTCAGGATTCACTTACACAAGTGAACAGAATGAAATTCAATAACAAATACAGATGAAGATAGCACACCTTGAGTTAAAAAATTTTTACAAATCAAGTTTCATGGAAAGAAGTTAAACAGCTGCTTCTTCACTAAGAGAACAAGGTAGATTTTTACCCTCGTGTGTTTCTGGGATCTCGACTCCTTGTCTTGCTTGGAGGCCTCAGGCTCTGCAGCTGAGCCAGCCTTGCTGGCTGCTCTGTGGGCTTGGCCGGGCAGTTTTGAGGGCACTGCAGCCACAGAAACTGATCTCTCAGAGCGTTTCCTCATCACAGCAACTGCACAATGACTCCTGCTGCTACCACTTGCCTGAGACACGAGGGAGTCTGTACTCTCAGATTTGGTTAGCCTGGACAGAATAATAAAAAACCCCAATAAAAATAACTTTCAGGTTTTGTACCGACTCTTTTAGTGTCATTGTTTCTGCTATAGAGGCTCCTCTTTAGAGCAGTAAGTACTGAGCATTCCTGCAAACATCTGAAAACACAGACAGGAAGAGAGGATTCTATTCTGTAACATTTTTTGTATAAGACGAATACTGCTGAATGAATTGGGCTCTGATATGTAGACCCATTGCAGCTCTGATTAAAAAGGTCTAGAATCAAATTGAAGAAATCAGGTAACCAAAAATGTAAAACTCTTGGGAAGAGAATTGACCTCCAGCTGAATTTGGATGAGACAAAATTTCTTGAAACTATCTAATTTCTTTCGGCCCTATAGGAAGGTCACAACTCGCCTTAACTACAGGAAGTTTGGCATTGTAATTCCATGGGAACATTGTAATCCTTGATCCTTCAACTGTAAGAGCATTAGTAATTCCAAACTCCAATTCACAAAATGTTAAATATAATCACATCTTTTCTAACTATTCAGTAAGCTGTAAAAGATATGTATATTTCTAAAACCAAACCTCTGTTAAAGGCTTACTGTGATTAGAATGCAAAGACTATCAAACTGGAAATAAGGAAGAAATGAAGTATTACAGTAAAGAAGTGAATTTGGAAATAGTGTTACCTAGCAGTTATTTTTCAGTGAGAGTTTGCATCTTCACAGTGAGGAAAAGGTACAAAGGGAAATCTTAGAAACTAAACTTCCAGAAAAGACTTTAATAAACAGGGCTGACAATAAGAATGAATTTTGGTAGGTCATCTTATGCCAGCAGTCCTTTGGATCAGAAATTCAATTATTCTGTTTGTACAATCCTTGGCTTTCTAAACCTTTAGTTGTTTATTCGTAGTGCAGGAGCACTGACTGTTTCAGTCCTAGATGATGCTGTCATCTTTGCAAAGGCACTTGAGACTGGAAGATATAACCCCAAATCTGTTAAATAAAGTGTGCCTGTGCTGCATGGTTCGATTACTCTAATACCATCCATGAGAGATCACACTTGAGAAAAAAAATGAACCCACAGAAGAGGATTAAACAACTAGAACATTTGTCTAGATAGCTTCACTAAAACATTTTGAGATGAAAGAAAAGATGCAGTTCACAAGAGACTACTGAAACATTTCATGCTAAAGATTCATTTTATTCAGTGCATTACCTTTTCTTGGGATAAAAGTAATCCAGGTCTTTTGATCTGCGTTTTAGCCTTGATGTCTCTGTTTTGAGTTCGCTTTGTAAAGACTCTTCATCAGGGACACTTCCAGGTTCTGACAAGACTGCAGGAGACGGGAGAGGACTCAAGACAAGTGGCACAGGGCAGCACTCCTTGGTGCAGGTAGTCTGAGTTTCATAGCGAATAAGACGAGTTTGAAGTTCAGCATATCCCACATCTCTCTCCAAGGCTCTTCTGTCATCTAGACAATACCTAAAATTGAAATTGAGTGAGAAACCTGTGAGAGAAAGCCTCTGCTTTATTACAATCAGAAAAACTTTTGACAGTCATGTGAACTCCAAAACTTTTTTTCCTGCTTGAACTGGTGTACTGTTCTGAAAGACAACTTGCAGCAGCCCAGTAAATTAATACTTATTTGCCTGATGGATTTTGCTGTATTTAAGTTCAACTCCAAACAAAGCTGAATTATATACTATTTGTAACTCTTTACCCTGTTCTTATAAGATTTCCATGGACATTAGCAAATTTTTTTCCTTGAACAAACTCTTTGAAATGCAACTTTTGGCTTTTTAATCCAGAAATTCTCCTGTATGAGAGATTCATATTTTTAAGAACTAAAAATACAAAAAAAGTATCACTGAACAAGCACAAGCTTTCTATTGACTACAACGAGTAAGTGGTTTAATCAATCAAATCAAAAGAACAAACTGAATTAACTACAGTGGGGCTGAAAAATAACAAATGAACAGTGCTAACTCAGTGAAACATACACATGAGATAACACAAAATCATTCTTAACTTTTCTCTGGTGTAAAAGATTTCCAGGATGCCTTGCAAGAGAACAGTGTTTCATCACCCAGTAACTTACTGCAGTGAAAGGAAAGGTAACAGTAAACCCTGTATTATTTCAGCCTCTTTGTTACAAATTGCTTTGAGCAGTGTGAGCTGTTACTCAGCCCACCCTTCAAACTGCTCAGCAATGTTTCCTACTGTCAGGAATGCAAGACACATTCTTTACTTTTATCTCTTAACATGGAGTCATGTTAAATTGCTAGTTCTGATGTTTCCACTTTCTTCAGACTATTTTCATATTCAGGGAGAAATTAAGTTTTCTAATAACTGGCTGACGAATCCATTTCCACAGTTGAGGAAGACTTTCCACTAGACAAACTCATTATCTGATAAGAAAGTAAGTTGTCTTAACTTAAAAATTTCAAGGTATTTACTTTTTCTTATTTATATTCTCAGTCCCCTTAGTAGTCACATACCCTACAAAGATAAAAAAATCTATTTAACTTTGGAAGTTAAATTGCCATTTTACTCAAGGCTTTAATGGCAATTGCTTTCTCTTCACAAAACCGCATTCAAGTGTCTGGCACATGTTCATTACACCAAAAATTTGATTTCATCATAAATAGGAACTGCCTTACATTCCCAAGTTCTGGTCTTCATGGGGGACTTCAGCCACCCCAATAATCTGTTGGAGGGCCAATAGGTAGGGCAGAGGCAATCCAGGAGCTTCCTGGAATGCACTGCTAACTCCTGAGTGAGGTGAGGAGCTATGCTGCACCTTGTGCCCACCAACAAGGAGGGGGTGGTGGGGAATGTGAAGTTCAAGGGCAGCCTTGGCTGCAGTGACCATTAAATAGTGGAGTTTGAGATCCTCAGGGCAGCAGGGAGAGTACACAGCAAACTCATCCCTGAACTTCAGGAAAGCAGTTTGCCATGGACAAGCTCTGTGGCATGGCCAACACTAGAGGGAAGGGATCCCATTCACAGGCTACAGCCCTTGAGGTTCAACAAGGCCAAGGGCAAGGTCCTGCACCTGGGTAAGGGCAATGACAGCACAAATACAGGCTGAGTGCAAAAAGGAGCAGCTCCGGGGGAAAAGATGTGGGATATTGGTGTCAGTGCCCATGGCATGGAGGCTGCAACTAGATGATCTTTAAAGTCCCTTCCAACTCAAACCATTCTATGATAACTGCTACTCCTTGTTTTTTTGACAAGACTTTACCTCCAAATATAAATACAGCAGCTGGGCAGATGAAAACTGCATAGTACCAAGCACATCTGCCCCATAACCACTATACTCTTGTTACAACATGCTCTAGGCATACACTACCTCTCACCCTACTGCTTCCCTCCCATACTGCTAAGCACATTGCCCCTGCAATATTAATATGCCAAGATCTTCCTCCTCTCCACAATTCCCAGGCCTCCCAGTGGTCTGTATCTGTCATATATTGCTAGGAGAAGAGACAGCACGAGCTCTGCTGTGCCTGATTTGAAATCTCAGGCACACTCCTTGCTGAGGTCAGGCATGGCAGCAAGATACCACATGGCAACATTCAAGTGATTTCTTCCCACACCTACCATATGCATTTCTCTTTCTACTCAGCTGCCTCTCTGTGCCACTTATTACAAATCTAAAAAGGCTAACAAGCTCATGAGTTAGGACTGCTTCACTGCCCTAGAGAACCTGGCTAAAATTACACAGGCTTAACCAAACTATTTCTAAAATTGATAGAAAAAAATACCAGCAGCACTGTTAGTCACATTCTGATAACCTGATAATCTGAAAATGTGATTTTAGGAGGCAGTAGAAGTTTGCACAAAAACTGAACTAACTATGCTTTTCTTAATATATACTGCACTAAGAGTGTGTGGAAGAGTTATGCTTAATTATCTACTCCAGCATTTCTATAGCCTTTTTCCTTTTCTCCTCAATGTCAATATTTGCAATTTTCTAAGCTATTTTTATACAGCTACATTATGTGACAGTTTGCCCATTTGCTTGCTTTGACAAATAACTATTGCTGGCTGGCTGAGATTAACAAACAGTCCTAACCATATGGATTCTTTTGAACATTGTTACCACTAGCACTTGCCTGCTGGTGTTTTCAGGTTCCCTGAACATACAGATAGCAGCATCACAGCAGGTCTCATTAAATCTCTTGGCTCTTAGTCTGAAAGTGTCTACCATTAAATATACAAGCAGAAACGATGTATGTACTTAAAGTGTGTGCTTCCCTAAAACCTTGATATGTTCTAATTCCCTTGCCATTTTTAGTTCTGAATTAAAACTTTCAGAGACACTGAGAATAGATACAACTGAAAAAAAAAAGGCCTTCAAAGTTTCTACATTATTATCAAGGCAGGAATGTTGCAATTTAAACCAGTGACATTTAAACCATAATTAAAATACACTTAACATGTTGCTTGAAACATTTCTAATTATACCTAGACTGGAAACTAAAAAATAAATCTGGGAAAATAAGAGGAAACTTACTCAAGTCCATGATAATGGCAGCCAGCTGCTTTTTCAAAAGGCAAACCTCTGAGTTTTCGAGGAGTAAGCTCTGGTGTCAAAAGAAATGCATTTTCACTGAAAGGAAAAAAAAATAAAGATCTATTTTAACCAGTTACCATTAGAATAAATTATACTTCCAAAAAGTCAGAAATAAGTGCCTTGACATAGGAAGACCAAAACAGCAAGTCTTGCAGCTATGCCTCTAGGATAAAGCATCAATGGAAAATTAAATCTCTGTTGAAGTGAGAATTTAAGTTCAACTAATTCCTACTGAGCTATTATTGTTACAGAAGCTCTTAGGCATTTCGTAGACAGTTAAGGTCACTGCTCCAAATAATTTACCATTAAAACTAGGCAAATATCAGTGTCACAATGGGACACCCGAGTAGTAGAATGAACTGAGAGGAACTGGGAAGTGACCTCCCATTTTTCAAACATACACTGTAAGTAGTGAATTCTTTCCCTTTAGCTTCAAGTTGTTGTCTCACCTAACATTCGTCTTTCCCAGACTTCAGAACTGATGGCTTGTTTCCTGGGATATTTCAAATCCAGCTAGTAACTCTCTGCAGCTAAATAACTTAAGTGTATTTGTTTGAAGGTATTTCAACAGAATAAGCCATAGCAAGGCAGATAGAAAGATCGTGCTGCCAGATTTCAACATACCCTGACATTTATCTCTATAGAAGGGAAGAGACAAAGGCAAGGATGTAACAGAACCTGAAACTTACACATTGGTTCAAATTTTATTCATATAGACTGCTTCTGCACCATTACCACTGGAATAATCTGAGAAAAACACCCAGGAAAGATGTGATCCTGAGTCTAGCAAGATGATAATTTGGAAAGACTGTCAGCCAAAACTGTAATCTATCAAGCTTCTATCTAAGCTCAGACATGGAAAACAAGTGAACATGCCTTTAAATCACCAGTCTCTCTCAAATTCTCTCTCTTCAGTTCTTCTGTTGGTCAGGAAGATCCTTGGATCTGTATTCACTGTTCTTGATCACCTACTGTGCAAAGCTCCTCATTATTTCAGAGAATTTATTCAGAGCATCTGCTAGGGGAGCGAGCAGCTCAGAGTACAGTGTTCTGCTGGACTCGATTCAAATTCAGATCTCACTCATCTGTAGCTCAAAGCAAATCATTCAAGACACTCAAGGTATTCTATGCTACACTGCTTCTCTGGAGGCTTTGAAAAAAATCAAAGACTAAAAAAATAGACCTGTGTAGTGAAAAATTATTCACTTCTTTCCCACACAACTAGTTGGAAGGAAAATATTTTTCTTCTGCCCTCATTAACAACCTAGTAGAAGATTCTAAATCTTTCCTGCATATTTTCTAATTTACTTGAATTCTTTGCTCAGAACGTATTAAGTGTAGTTTCAAAACTTCAGTAACTATTTTACAGCAGTCTCAAAAATCCTACAGAAAATCCAAAATGCTACAGAAGTTTTCCCTCTCACAAGCACTTTTATTACATATAACGAAGTCTGAAAATGATCAAGGGCTATATCAAGTAATTGCATCATAGTTTCTATTATTCAGTATTAAAAAGGTCAACAAATATAATTGTAGTGACTGCAGAGACTGTCTTGCTTACCTAGCTGTCTGTGACACACTGCACAAATAGTATAGGCTCTGCTTCTATAAACATTATGACTCTGTAAGAGTCCGGCCTTAAATCTAACAGATGTTCAGATCCTGGAAATTACTCCAGTAACTCCACTCCAGTAACTGCTGAAAAAGCAGTGGTTAATATACTAATACTTACCAGGAGGAACACTAAGAATGAACACTTGCAAAGCCACCAGAGTACATAAGTTTCCTTCAAGAAGCACTTTACCACATAAAAAGCATGACAGGAGACAAACACAGTTAAATAGGCTTAGCTATTTCCTTTTCTTATTTTGTCTTCCCACTTACACTCCCCTTCACTCAAAGAAATCACACCAAAAAAATTAAAGCTCTGCCACAGTACCTTCTGCTTTACTAGAAATACTCTTTTTGAAATGGAGACCTAAGGCAGCAGCAGCTTGGCAGGGCTCTACCTGTACCACGTTTGTGCTTCAGGTGATTATTTTGTTATTTAAATGCCTAGGACAAAAACCATCATCTCCAGCCATTTCAGATTCTGAAAGAACTGAATAGCAATACTGACTGGAGACCAAAACAGTTCATTTCACTGGCAGGCATGTGATGAAAGGCTGTTGCAAGTTATAAACTCAAATCCAGCTAGGCCATTCTGTGACCCATTCCACCCTTATTTCCATCCCTTATTTCCATCCCTTATTTCCATGCCCTACACCAGCTCTGTGTTCAGTGGCTTTAACATGCTGCTCCTACCGCTTGGGAACCTGGAGTGGCTGGAGATCCCCCACGGGGAGCCCTTCGGGGGTGAAATACTTCAGCAGCTCTTTAGCATCCAGCAACGTCAGCGACTCCCGCTGGCTGTCTTTATGTCCCAGCAATTGCTCAGATGAATGTGCAAACAGAGGAACTCTGGAAAAAAGGAAGCAAGCAAAAACCAAGCTAAGATTTTTTTTTTCCTTTTTTAAATAAACTCATGGCATTTTAAAAAGATATTACATCATTGATACTCTGGAGTAATTAAACTAGTACGAAAGTAAAATGAAGAAAGTTGCTCCTTGAGAACATTCACACAAACAGTCATGATAAAGAACATGGTAACTGGTGAAAATTCTCAAACATTCAACTGAAGAAAGTAATTTCTTCAAGAATTTAGAGCGTGGTTATGAAATACAACATGGGAAGAAGATTATTCACCCTTTTTTTTTTCCTATTTTAGGACCAAAAATTGGTTCCCATTAAAAAAAAAATACAATATACAGGAAAGGAACCATAAAGCCACTACTGCATGCAACCCTCCACTCCTTTCTTAGTGTCTTCAACCAAGTAAATCAAAGTTCTCCCTTTTCTACTGTTAAGCAACACATTGTATCTCAATGCAGCACAAGAAAGATAATCAGTTCAGATTATGAGCAATAAAATAAACACTATGCAACAGGTCCTTTAGGAAGCCTTTCAACAGCTAATTAAAAGGAAGAACTTTGTCCGTTTGAGAAACAAAATCCAATAAAATAATAATAATAATGATGATGATGATGATGACGACAATAATACCACCGTGAGAAAGCTAATGTGAGAATTTATCACATGCATAACTCCAATCTAAGCCATGGCCAACTGTGGTACTTGAAAGAGAGAAAAGGGATGGAAGTGACTTAGAAAAGGACAGTTGGACACTTGGCTCTACAGGTCTGTCAGCAAGAACATTAACACCACCAAAGACCATTAAGTAACAGAATCACAAAATAAGCTGAGTTGAAAGGGACTACAAGCATCATTGAGTCCAACTCCTTGCCCTGCACAGCAAGATCCCCAGGAGCTGCCCAAGAGCATTGTCCAAACCCTTCTTGAGCTCTGTTGGGCTGGTGCTGTGACCACTGCCCTGGGGAGCCTGTTCCAGTGCCCAAACACCCTCTGGGTGAAGAAGCTTTTTCTAATATTAACCTAAACATTCCTTGACAAGTCTTCTATAAAGCGAGAGCTAAACTGAAATCATCAGGCTGTCTTAAGTGACAGAAAAATCTATGGGTTTCATTTGAACAGCACTGAAGGCAAAACATAACTAAATATAAATTTCAAACACAAAACCAACAGGCTCTTTGACTTCAAAATTACTTGATATATGGTATTATATTTAGGAAATATGAGGAGATTAGAACACATTGTACATATTGACAAAAACAGCTGAATTATCTCTCTTCCTTAGGGTATGTTGGGAGAAGGAAAAGCTTTTGTATGTTTTCCTACCATGGCTACTATTTTCTAGAAGTGTCATTTTGGTAATTTAGTTTAAGAACTATTCCACTTTTAGCTAGATTCCAGTTGCATTTAGTCAATAAAAATCAAAACAATACTTCTTTAAATACCAAGAAATTACACCTTTGGAGATCGACAGAAAAACAGTTTTAGACTTAAGCAATATTTTCTTTGAAAGATTATTAATACACGTGAAAACAGTTTACACAATATTTATCAACATATAAAGTTCAATGGCTACTCCAAAGAAAATCCTCAATACTTCATCATTACCTCATTTTTTGTTTGTTTTTTTCAAAGTTTTCCAAATTCTGAAGAACATGTCTTTCTGGCCACTCCAATGGGTTTGGCTCTATTAAACCAGGTTCTGCAAGAAAAACATGTTGAATAACCCTAAATAAAGAATCTTATTCCTTAAAGAAATAGATATACAGTCATTCATATACAGATATTCCTTAATGTACATCTCAAAGTATGCAAATTAAAAAAAAAAAAAAAAAAATCTATCTGGTGATGCAATTAGAAATGTTTTCTGGACAATTTTTTTGGTCAAGGAAGAAAAAGGAAATAGGTAATGCAAGGGTAATTTCAGTTTGAAAAATAAGCCCAGAAAGCTACTTTACTTTTCCTTCCATCTTTTCCTCTTTTAGCAAAAAGACTTTATTCCTTTTACTAAATGATTGACAACTAGTATGAAAAAAACATCCAAAGAAAATAAACAGCGTTATTTTGTATATAAAAATACTTACCACACGTCACAGTCCATGAGCTGGTTTTATTGCAGACCTTCTGTAGAACTGGCTTAGGAAGACTAGTGCTGCACAGGTCCAAAAAACATTCTCTTGTAAGTTTTAATAAGCTTTTAAACTCATTGGTAGAAATAACTGCAGGCTGCTTGGTCAATTCTTTTCTGTCTGTAAAAGAAAAAATAAAAGACACCGCATCTGCTAAGTAACAAAGAACAACGGGAGCCTGCTAAAAAACAATTAAACAAGAAAATGCCCTCCCAAAACCAGTAACACAAGTAAGTTAATTTGACACTATTGTATCAGTAAGACATGGGCGGTTTATTCCAAGTGAAAAAACAGCAGCGAATAGCTAAAGTCACACGTGATTCATGTTTTTACAGTCCTTTAATTGCTGGATATATGCATTTCTGAGTATATCCAGGTTTGAATCCCCCAGAGACAAAACACCTGGACTTGCTGAGACCAAAAGTGAAGGGCTCCAGTCTGCAGAGCCTCCCACCCACCTGTTTCTACTGGTGCTGCAGGAGTGTGGCTCCAGTATCACTGATAGCCTGTCCTGGTCTCTTTGGTCATTATATCAAGGGTCAGGTAATTCTGTATGATTTAGGACAATCAGTGCATCCCAACTGCTCCTACTCAGTCTCTTAATGGAAACGGGTGACCCACTCAAAAGAAATTAAAAACACAAGTTCAAAAACAGGCCCAGCCTCAGGGTTGAAGCAGACGGGAATCTGAGAACGACTGCAAGTTAGCAGGGGGTGTGGGGTGGGAGACAAGACCACTTACAGAAATCTTGTCTTCTTTAAGTGCTATTCTGTTAATGATAATACACTTAAATTACCTCCACAGCATGCCATTTTCAATAAGCCAGTCAATCTCTCTGAGGCATTTTTTCTTTTAATTGCAATGGACTTAAGATGGAAAAAAATCAGGACACACAAATGTACTTCTCTGCAAAGTGACAAAAATCTAAGGAGGATGACCTTTCAAGTTTTTATTATGAATGATGCATCATGATAAATCTAACAAATCTCCAATACATGGTTTTCCTCTGCTGCTTAAGCCTTTTCAAAGAAAGAATAAAATTTTTAAAAGCTGAAAAATCCAAATCAGAATTCTTATTTTTATAGAAGGCATATCCACCAATAAAGAATTTTGGGAAAATCACGACAGATTTGCATAGAACTATTTCAATGCTATGCTCAAAAATTCAGAGTATTCATGTAACAACCACTAACACTAATTCAGTGTTCTCTTTTCCATTATCTGACAGATAATCATGGATGTACTTCAAAGTTTCTTTCTAAACTTCTGCTATTTCTTCACAAAGTGATCACCACAATTGGGCTGTCAAGCAACTCCGATTTTGTAAGGTGAGCCATCCCATCCAATTTGAAATAAAGACCTTTTAAATACTAGTTTGAGAATTATCAGAGCTTTCCCATTACTTACTGAGATACTCCTTTAAGGCAAACACTTGGAGACGAGACAGTCTTGTTTCTCTCTGTACAATGTCCTCTCCACAATAGCATGGCAGAGACTTGATAAAGTCAGAAATATGAAAGTCTGTACAAATTAGGAGAAATTTTTATTACAAATCTCTCTTTGGAGTTATTACTTAATAGAAGATATCAACATAAGACACATAAAAATCTTACATTCAAAGGAAACAATCAGACTTTCAAATATGGCTAATCATTGAAAAATTAAACAAATTAATTCCAATTAAACACCAGGAGGATCATTTCAAAGAGATGCCTGACTAGGATTTTTGAATTTCTGTAAAAACCAGTATAATGACAACACAATTAACATGCCTAACATTTAAAGAAGGTAAAAAGATCCTAAGTTTGATACCAGGAAAGAAAAAGTTCTCCCAACATATGGTCAAGGACTTTCAGTCTTCTGACACTGTACTAATGGGATTTTAATTAGGATAAATGGCAGAGTAGTCAGTCATCTCGCACACAGATTTATTTCAATATAAGGAATTAAGCAGATAAGATGCAGGTCACTTTGCTCCTTTTCTTTGCCAATGTTATTGAAACAAATACAGGAATTAGTAGAGATATCTGGTAGGTGTAGTTGTAACATGACAACTACTCCATGATAAATGGCTGCATACCTGCTCTTCCCTATTGGAGCAGTCAGGATAGGAGTGCCAGCTCATACCCTAAATACTCTGCAGTAACATGGACAACAGCAAAGGAACTGAAGGTGATAACAAAACTCAATTTGTCTACTGGCCTTGCAGATTTTATTTTAAATCATCAGTAAAACAGGATTTTCAAGAGATATTCACCCAGATTTTTGGCATGGGCTGGTCACTCTTTACAACAACAATAAACACTTTCTAAACTTTAAGCTTTCACAAATTTGTTTTGCATTAGTATTACCTGTATGTCCCTTTACAATACGCAATTTTCATCTAATCTCAATTACGAGAAATGACTGACAATAACCTTGCATAGTTAAGTTTAAAAATATGGTAGCGGTAAATTCTGTGAATAAATAAGCTCTTATTATATTTTCTTACGGATTCGGAAAAATATTGTTAAAAGAAACATTCATAAAAGATGTAATATTCCTCCTTGTTTTCTCCCTCTTAATACCAACTGGAGTGAATATAAGGAACTTAGGAAATTTAGTAGTATTTGCCTGCATTCAGATACTTATTTATAAGTGATTACTCTTACCTGACTCTGTTTCTTCTCCTTTTGCCTTTAGCTTTCCATTTACTGCAGCAAGAGTGGCCATCCCATTGATCTGGCCAGCTGAATGAATCAAGGTTGCTTTACATCCTCCAGAGCCATTCCCTTGTAGCAAGAAATAATATCGGCAAGATTCTCCTTTCAGTTCAATTTCTGGAACTTAACAAATATCAGGACATAACTGTGAAACACCCTCAGGAAAATATCTTTGAAACAAACCATAATCCACCATCGAAATTCTTTCATTTGCATTCTTCTGTTCAGTGAGAGATCTTACTAACCATCAACCAGGAGAAGTTCTTTAACTGGGCTAAGTAATAGGCAAACCTTTAACTAGCAAATTTGCAATTTTAGCATGAAACAATAAAGAGAAATTTCTGTTCTGCTAGGCAAAAACAGGCCTTTTTGCATATGTGCATTGAAATACAGTAAATGTTCAATGGACAAACATACAACTCTAGAAGAAAAGGAAATATTGCACACACTCTTCCCAAGGACACTGCATTATTCATTAATAAAAGCTTCATTCCCTGCTTTACCCTTGTGCCTGGATGAAAGATAAAGACATTCTATTTATAAACACTGGCATATAGTATGCAGTTTTGAAAGTAAATTAATGTGGGACCTGAGAGTAACAATGAAAGGATGGATTTGCTATCTTTTCACACAGAAAAAAAATTATAGCACCTTGGTAGACAATCAAGATAATGAATACTTCTTGATGTACTAAGTTTCAAAACTAAAATATTTTAATTTTTTAAGATATTTGCAGTACTGTCTCAATGATTAACCCTACGGGAACTTAATATTTGTTAGTATCATAAATTTTTGTTAGCAACAAAAAATATATTCCTGTGTTTGTTGAAAATTTATAGTTGGACACAGAAAAGAGGGAAAACCCCATTACCTCAATACATAAATTCAGAGAAAGAACAATAAAGAAAAAATATTCCAGAAACGTTGTCATATTGCCGTTTCCCATGTCATTTAAATATATTCCTTTTCCAGTTTATCTTGGCATCTCAAAGCTAAGTCCTGATGGGTAACCTTTTATTTCACATTTTAATCTTGGCATTTGAGAACTACAAATATCAAGAATTATACCTTCCTACAGATGGAAGAGATTAAGGATTCATAAATCCTTAGTAAAGTCAGATTAGCGGTAGCCACTACAAATCAGCAGTTTTCAATTAAACAAGAAAATACATTTCAAAAACAGTGTTTCTCCTCCTATTGTAAATTTTACTCGAGGCTTTAATAAGAACATGTTGTGTCTTACTGATCACATTATTATTATAATCGTTAATAGTATTAACTATTGTGTAATAGTTAATACTTGTACAAAACCTTTCCACTGGAGCACAGGACAAATATCCTGCAGCCACTGCAGATCTTGTGCTCATTTGACTGCATTAGTAGCATCTCTCCAATAAATACAAATGCTGCTGCTGTGACCAGCTCTACACCTTCTGTATTCTACCCCTTCCAAACATGCAGAGATAACTTTAAATCTATATACTGCTGATGCCGTTTGGGTTATGCTTTTTTTTATGTTCTCTGTATTCTTCACACATATTTGTAACTCTGTCACCTACTGTATTAGTAGCTAGTTTTCCCAGTGCTTTTCCATGGCCTTTCCCTAAGCAGAATAACAGAACTAATTCCAGAGCTCCAAGCCCAGGGAGGTACAAGGGTCTGTACTGTCTTAGTTCTTCCTGGGAACCAAGGCCAAGAACAACTCTTGGAGATGCATTCTCGTGGACAGAGGACAATTAGTGCTGAAGGGGGGCTCCAGAGAAGGGGGGGGAATTGCATCACCACTTGTCCTCCTAATTGGTGCTTTTTATCAATTATGCTAATTTCCTAAAACCTATAAATGTACTCACCCCTAGGGAGGGTGGGCTTTTGTGGACGTCTTTCGATAACTGCCTCTGAGGGCCTTCATTAAAGATACTCTTTCATATTACCTCCTTGCTAAAATGATCTCTAGTTTCATTTTCAGGTCAGGAAAAAGGCAACACTGCCAGCATCCATTCCATAATTAAGTTTCTTAATAAGCTTCTTAAGCTTCTGTTATACAACCCTTCCTAATTCCTCTCAATTTTCTCCTCTCTCTAAACCTGAAATATATCGTCACCAATATGAGCCATCTTCATTTGCATATTTGTTTTTAAAAATTGTCTTGAGTTGGCAACAGAAATAGTCACTGTTCCTTGGAATCGACATTAATTATATATTAGACGATGTATAAACGAGATTATGAAAGAAGGCAGAATCCAGCACTTCACTGTGTCCTCGCTAAGTACTTTCAGCACTGGGTTACCACCAAGCTCCTTTTTAGCCTGATGTTTTCAAGTGCCTACAAACCTCACAGACACTGCTTATACAGTGCCTCCACTTGCAGGACACATTTACTGGTTGACTGAGAAACTTCCCCCAGCCTTGGTCTGCACTGATTCTCTTCTCCCACTTTCTGAATCAGATTTTTAAGCACTGGAACAGGGAATGAGAGTCAGCTGCCAGCAGTGCAGCCATACAGGGAGCACGTTCTCAATTACAGGTTTAGAACACTGGCTCCCAGGAGATTGGAGGCATTCAGCATTTCTTAATAGCCTGTATTTTCCCAGGAGAGACTGAAATTAAATGCAAGTGCACTGAAGAACCTCTGGAAATGCTTAAAGAAGGGAAGCACCTCAGTGAAGCAGACTAGAATTCCATCTGCAGAAATAAATCTGTGCCATGGATTTTACAATCACCTTAGACAGATGTGTGGAAATTGGATCTTAACTGACAGACAGGACACAAAAATGGTTAAAGGAGATGCCTTATTTCCCCAAAGCTTGATGTTTGATGTTTCCCCAAGCCATGATGTTACCATATTTCTTCCTACAGGTTTGCATAGCTGAACTTGCATTCACCAAATCTTCTTGTGTCCGTGAAGATTACAATCACTGATTCATTTCATTGAAGTTAAAAAGAGAATCCTAAATGTACAGAAAAAGCTCACCATACACACACACACACGTATATATACACATATAACCACAACAAAATACACGTACCAGAAATGACCTTGGGTTTCTTAGCCATATATTCCTTCCATTTCTTGGTGCTCAGCTGGGCAGGAGATGGGATCACTACATTGCTTACATTACATGGCAGTGTAAATAAAGCTCCCACCTAAATAAGGAGAGCAAATATAAGACATTCAATATTACTGAAACCTGAAATTCCATTCTTGAGCTACTGATTTGGCATTATTTCAAATCTACTTGAACTGAAGAAAAACATCTCCACTTAACATATCTGTCATTCACGTCAATCAAAATGGAACTGCATTTGACACTAAAGCTTTAACAAGTGTGTTTACTTTTTAGTCCAATTGAGAGATCATTATCTGCTGAATTTCCATTTCAACATAAAAAGGTATTTATTATGTATTGCAAGTGTCTCCATAATCTGGCTACAAACGTTTTTGTAGAGCAGTATCCAGAATGAAAAGAGAATTCAAAGATAACAGTTGTCATCAATGACTGCATTCCTATGAAAAAAGTTTTTTTTTTCTTCCTACATATTACCCTTGTCTCTTAGCCAGATACTGGACTATGTTTATGTTTCTACATAGACTTCAGGCCAATAAGCACTAACAGAAAAATTGCAGACATATTTGAATACTCAAGCAATAAAGCAATGCTATTACAGGTATTAGAAAAGCCTATGAACATGCAATATTTCTAGTAGCAGATTGACAAAAATCCCTATGAGAAACTGTTATTTTTAAAATATATTCAGTTCAACATGAGCAGACTCTAAAAAGTAACCTGAAAACGTGTTTTCAATGTTTGGGCTTCTTTAAAAATACTAGTAGAAATGTAAGCCTTTTGATTGTAAAAGGTGTATAACCAAGTGTTCAGTGTTCTTAAGTAAAATGAAGATTACCTGGGATATTTACCAATATAAAACCATTTTAAAAGATACATTATAAAAAGGACCTTTTCCTTTTCTCACTAAGTGAATGGAGAATGGAGTAGCAGGGGAGAAGAAGAGTTACTAAAAACACAAATAACAAACTGAAAATGAAACATACAGCAAAACATACATACAAACATAATGGGATACCATCTTCACAGTAAACAAAAAACATGTGTTATTCATAATAACTGCATCACCATTTTCAAAGTGCAGGTTTTGCTTTGAATGGCATAGATTTATTTTATAAACACTAAAACAGTTTTCTAAACAAGATGTATTACCTTGTATGTAAAGGTGATAGAATGTTCAGGAAAAACATCTTCAAACTAATACTGTGGCTATGAATAATCTCACTATCATTCCAAGGCAGAGGAGGGAGGGAAAAAACAGGACTGTAAATGTTTCATGAACTCTTTTTATCCAAAATCAGAATATGCACATATAAAATATAAAAAGCTTACCATTTCACAGTACCTAGATAAATTTTCTAGGCTGCATACATGCCCGCCTTTTGCTAAAAAAATCAATAGCTCAATTATGATAGTACAGAAATTATCTGTCAGGATAGGATTAAAAAATTTAGGAGACTGAAACTTAGCTGAGACAAAGAGAAAACTGTTCAGTGGGTATGTATAGCATTGTCCATTGAAATCCATGTTTGCTTTAGAATTAAATACTGAAGAAGTTTAGACAGAGACTAGGTTCAAAAACATTATTCCTGTGTCTTTTATAGGCAATATACATTCGTTCATTTTTCTGCTATACATAAATTAAAAGTTTTTACCTTCCCAGAGAGAAAAGAAATCTGGTCCAAAAGCAGTGTAGATGCCTCCTTGGTATTCTTTCTTGACAGGCTCCTGAACAGAACAGTTTAAGGAACATCATCTTCACAAAGAATTACGCACCTCTATTTTACAGATCAGGTTACCATCATATTTGAAAGAAGCACTGCAAGCATCTAGTTTTTGATACTGCAGTATTACAAAACATAAAAATTCACCTTTCCAGATAAAGGGATACATTTGGAAATGTTATATAACAAAATACTCCACGGACATCTGTATTATAGACAGACAGAAACAGATATTTATATACTCAAAATCATAGCAGGCTTATACATATTAAGGTCTAATTGGTACACCAAGACTAGTAGCAAAAGCACATACTTTTAAAAACCAATAGTAATGTATCTCAAGATCTCTGCAGCACACACACTCAAGAGAGAAATCTGCTAAACCTTGTCACAGATTGTGCCACTGCACAATAAAAACACGGTTTGTAGATAAATGTACCTATATTGTGAAGCATGCTACACTCATTCTTTAGAAAGGCTTCAGGTTTTTTTTAAACTTACACAGAATAAGCATTTCTCTATTCTTTTCCCACAAAGAGCATGCACATCAACAGGGAAATTATATATGCAACAGTATCAACATATGGTTATTGCTAATGTAATTCGAATTTCAAAATTAAAAAATCCAGTTGTGAAGAATCACTATGACTATTTTTGGCAGGCTAGAATGGAATGAACCCTTGCCTATCCTCATCTGTCTATTGCTTGCATGGGTAGATGCTGATCTTGTTCTTTCTGCTACAGAATTATCAGTAGTAGTTTAGGTCCTTAAAAAAAGGATACAGCTCAAACTCCAGATCTGATACAAAAATGGAAGGTAGATCAGAAAGCATCACCATCTGTAAAAATTCTAGTGCAGGACCATAGTAATGAAAAACCTAAAAAGAGATCAAATAAAAAGCTAAGTATGTAACACTTGTACGATGTTATATCAGCAGAAATTCCTCAAGTGTTTTGATGGAGAGATTAGCCTTGCAGATAACATCTGAAAGAGGTATAAAGGAATACAGAAACATTTCACAACATCATACCAAATTATATGAAAAAAAGAGAAGGTATTTAATTTTTTTAAATAAATCTGACTTTGTACAATGTCAACACTGTGCTTCAAATGAGTTCCAACTCTTACCCAAAATAAAATATGATCTACCAGGAACAGACTAATGCAATACAAAATGCACATGTTTTAACAATGAAAACAACAAATTCCAAATACTGATACCAATTTTTGTTCATTTACCAATAATGCTCATTTTTGTTTTCATCAACACATGATGCTGGAGTTCTCATCAATTATCTACTTCCAGAAAACATAAAACAGCGAGAATGTAAAAAAAACAAACTCAAACTTTTAAAAAAACCAAACTCAAACTTTTAAAATTAAGTGGGAAGGGTTAGATAAATACAGAATTCATAATTTAACTATTTTGAGTACTAAACTGAACAAAGTCTGAATTTTTACTTGAAAAAATCTGGTATTGTATTTCTAAGAACAAACAGATTAAGTTTGAAGGATCTGTTTTGACAACATAGATTTACAAAAGAAATATTCCTCAATTTTATCCAATCATCACTTCTATACTGAACTTTCAGTGCTGACTAAGGACTCCCCAATTACTAATTTTCTCCAGAAAGTAAAACAGATGAATTCTAAAACTTGAAGAAAAATCAAGAATAATACTTACTTCTGGCAAAGTATCAGTATTCCTCGACTGCCACTCTTTTTTAGCAGCAAAGCAAGACCTTAAATTTGCAGTCCTGAATGTCTTGGCTGAAGTGCTCTTTATACAAAATTCTGGAAAGTCCACTCCTGATCCAAACTGGAAAAAAAAAAGAAGATAATAAACGTGTCAAAAAGAGATTAAAATTATTTCTTTTCAGCCATTTAGATGTGCTATTATTTTTAACAATATTATTTTTTCAGAACTGTAAAACTAAGAAAAAATATTAAACTTAGATAACCAACTATTAAATCCAAAACAGTAATACTAAAAATGTAAACAATGTCAAAAGCTCTCAGGTTTTGCAGAAACATTAGACATATGCAGGCAACAATGACTTACATGACAATGATTTGTGATAGATACAAAACAATCTAATTTTGAACAGTAAGTTATAAAAAAATATTTCAGAGGGGAGCATCTGGATTTCAGAAGTTCAGATCTTGATGCATTGATCTTATTTATCATTTTACCCTGCCACCCACCCAAACACATTGGACATTACCTTTGAATTACATGGTTGAAATCAAATTTGGCTTAAGAAATAAAATGCACTACACAATAAATGCTTTAAATGAGGTACAGAGATGCTTTAAGAAATAAACACTGCAATAATAAAAGTATTTTACCTTTCTTTCCCATATCTGAATCTTTCCTCTCCAGAGTTCATTTAAATCAATGATATTTGTTATATCATCTGAAGATACAAAGTCTGCTGACAGATAGTCTGCAATCTTTTGCCAGCTACTGTAAAAATATCAAAGAATTAATCTTACTGAATTTAGTATTACAAATAAACATGCAATACAGTTTGACTGAATTTACCTATGACTCTTAGCATTGAACAATCTTGTGTATGTCAAGACATATAATAAAGCTTTATAAAAGCTTTATATCCAACAAAGTAAAAAATATTATAGAATTGCTCATTCAGGCTCTATAAAGGAAATTGTTCATGCGCTCCATGAAAGTGACAGCAAAGAACTTTGACATCAAATAAGACTGGCAAGAGCAAGCTGCAAGCACAGCATAGTAATGTTGGATGCTAGAAGCTGCAGCAAAGCCTGGTAGCCATCAGTGGGGCTATGGTTTGCAGCTAACCTTCTGAATGGAGATACAACTGCAGCACAAGCATTATCCTAATTCAACAAGAGAGAGAGCAGCCAGTCTGTGGGTTCTGCTGGCAGTCTGTCTACTAAGGCAAATCAGCACCATCAACAAAATAAAGTGAAGTAACTTTCATCCGAGATCTTCTATATCCAAATAATCTCACTTTACATAAAAGGCAGCAGAAAAATTTATCCAGTCAAAAGCTGGCTCCACAGGATGATATCAATGAGATTAAGTGTTTGTGGAAGTCACCGAGTAACTTTCTTGTCTTCCACATACCTCAGGAAATACTGTATAGTAGGTATACTGCTTATTCTATCCAAGGACTGAACATTCACCTTTTTATTAATTTAGGATTAAGCTTAACCACTTATTCTATGAAGCAAAATTCAATCTTTTGGGCATGGAGGGGAATGAAAGTGGAGACCTTGCCGGGCTGTTCAGTATCCACACAATCATTCACTTCATGGGATAAAAACCCCAAATCATTGTAGTTTATATGGTGATATATATCATGGCCTTTATATGTCAATTAGAGGAGGACAGTAAGTAGATTACTAGACTTAATTTCAACTCGAATTAATAGGCTCAGTAACTATTCATAGTAACAGAATCTTGGAAAACATACAGGAAGTAATGGAGCATTTATACTCCTTTTTCAAAAGGGACAAATGAGGCACTCTAAATTTTATATTTATATTTGGTATTACATTTCAGGGAGGAAAAGTAAAGTAAAACCAGCAGTAGTATGGATTCATTTCAAAAAAATCTGGAAAAATATAATCAATATACAAGTTATCCCATAGCATAATATAACGTGAAAACATTGTATGCACACTGAACTCATTGAAAGAGAAGAGAAAATATTTTACTCTTTGCTCCCACAGAAAACAAGAAGTGCAGAGGACTGGCTTTTTTGCTTTCTTCTCTAGTTAGGGCATTTACCATAAATCGGGATTAGTAATTCCTCCCTTCATACAATAACAGACTAATTTATGTCTTTTCAAAGTATACATGTAAAGTACTCAACATGCTGCTTTTATTTCAACTCACTGATCTATGCGAACACAAAACAGAAGTGATCTTTTCTAGCCCTGAAATAAATGCCATACCCTTTAGCATCACTTGCTGCAATAGTGATCTGTGCAGAGTGCCACTCTCTCAGGTGTTTCAGGGCACCAATAGCAGGTAAGCAGTCTTTTAGCTTGGGTCCATCACATTCAACAGCATGCAGGATTACATCAACCATTGCTCTGCCTATAAAATAGTTGTGTATGACTCAAAATTATCATGATTCAGTAAATTATTCACTCATTTAAAGATAGAATAGTATCGGTTATCACTGATTACATTAAAACCGGCAGATAGATCAAATAATTTCAATATTTAAAACACTTCACACATTTTAGCTCATCTCTTGCTGCTCTTCTTAGATGAACACAAAATATTTCACCATTCCCTCAGTGACAGTGGTTCTGCACCTTTCTCCTCTCTCTCAGCAATGATAGATGAGATGTCTCCCATACAATCAAGCTATGACATTTTCCTACTTTTAACACTAAACTGCTATTTTTCATTCTTCTTGAGTTCCCTTGTTATCCCAAATCAACTTCTGCAACATGCCAGGTGATATGTATCCCCAGTTTACAAAATCCGAATCCAAGAGTTCTGATGTATTTTCCTTCTCATTTTCTTGGCTCCCGCCCACAAGCAAGCAGCTGTCAAATCAGATGTAAGCCTGATATGAACATCTCCCTTTTTTAATTAAGAAAATTTCAGTGCTGAGTCTTTCATTGTTTACTGTCTATGATTACTTTGGTGCCATTTCAGATGGATAAATTTGTTATATAAATAGGTATTTTAAAGTCTACTGAACTACAGCCTGCCAAAGAAACAAGCAGCAAACTAGTCCTCAAGCTGATCTGCAATGCCAACCATGCTCAAGTTCATAAACCACCTTCAAGAGCTGCATTAAGTTAATTCAGCTACCAAACTAACATTCTCTGAACTTTTCCATTCACTATGCTTTTACCAGATGAGTTTTTAGATCAATAACTAACAAGATAAACTCCAATGAGATTGGTTTTTAAAGATAGATTACCTGGGGCAGGCAATTTATCAGCTAATTGATGCAGACTTTCAGCAGCTTCATCATAGATACTAAAAACAAAGAACAACATGTTTGGATCCAAAAAAATAAGCAAAGTCACTTAGAAACAAAAAGTTACAACTAATGAATGGTACCTGATGTAAGTATCTTACATCTTTAAAACTCTGCACAAACATACCTAGGCTATGAGAAATCATCTCCTCTTTTACTAAGACAGAAGCAGGCCTAATGACACCAAAATAATCTGCAGTAAAACTGGAAGTAGGATTCAAGTGGAATTAGCAAGAAATGTTTGTATATATAACGTTGACTGTAAGGAAACTGTTCAGTTATCCTATAAAAATCATCTGCAAAAATTAAAGCTTTGCTAAACAAAATAGAAGTATTTTCAGTTCTAGTAGGGGATTGTTCATAGTTAACTCTTGCTTTGGTAGTAACTCTCACTTGTTAAACTTTTTTGATCTCCTTGGGTCATCACTGTTAGATACCAGATCACTGTTCTTTAAATAAAAATAATAATACACATACTCAGTCAGAGACAGTGATTCCCGACTGTTACTGTCATCTTCCTCAAAATTTTGTGTGGTTCCCAGGTTCTCATCAATGCTTGCCTGGTGAGAGTCGTCATTTTTCGGTGTGTCAACATTTACTTCCTCCCAATCAGAACTGCAGAACTAATCAAACAAAAAGATAATACACAAATAAGCAAAAAGAGTTTTGAACATCACAGTTTTAGCTTGTTCTACAGTCAGGCAGATGGTTGAGAGAGTTATACTCTAAAAAAAGTTAGTCTTACCTGATAATAACCACAAATGACATGACTTGCAAAATACCATTTCTTTGCACCTGGAATACCAGCCACTGAGCACGCTGCAAAGAAATAAAACAATTATTTAAATTAACCAATTCACTACAATCTATTCTTCCTATTATAACAAACACCTATGTTAAAAGACTCTCTAAGTTATTTAATGTGCAACAATTAGTTGTGTTTTACTTTCCTTTGGCATCATAATTAAGTTCTAAACATCTTAAGGTGTAGGTAAGTGTCTTGGCAAGTGTCTATTTCTGACCCCCTGACTGTTAGTTAGTAAGAAAACATTGCTTTCTCTTTGCATGATCCGTATCAGACTCCAACTAAATAACACCTTTCATAAATATGATTTAGAGTTCATAAAAAGGGATGCTCTATCACCATTTCTATGCAATAAAAAGCATAGAAGTTGCAAACAGCTTAACATTCTCATCTCTGTGAATTTTAAGAGCTTATAGTGGTTTTCCCACATGAATCCCAATTATATGACATCTGTGACAAGATGAGCTTAAAACAGAAGATATCCAAACCAAGTAAAGAACTAAGAATGCATTTTTAATTAAAAAAACACAAATACACACCCCTTAAAAGTACTAAAGCAGATCTTAAGAAATCTATATTAAGGTGAAAAAATGATTTAATATTAATGGATTAAAGGTCTGAATTGTTACCCAACAAACAAGTACTGCTTCCACTGAAAAAATGATAACACATTATAGGAGAAATATCACACTTCCCACTGACTTGAGAAACAAGCCCATTCCTACTCTTCCCTGCTCAACTGGACTGAAATTTGTCAACTCTTCAAAACCCTTCCCCTTCATTTCTCACAGCCAATCAATCTAATCATCTCCTAACACCTCAGCTGTTGAAATAATGCAAGTTCTCCATAGAAACAGGAGCAGCAGGAACACCACACCACAGCAATTTGGTTTACTTACATTTCTAACTTGTTTCCCCTAACAGAACATGCACAGGACAATTCCGTGACAACACCTGCCCTACCTCAGTGTGAACTGCCATACTTACCTGGGAATACGCTCACATCTGCATTTAACGATGCATTATAACTTTCTTTCAGGAACTGATACATGTCTGCAGCAGTCCCAGCTAGGAAAAACAAACAAAAAAACCAAATTTAAAACTACTGAATAATGGAAGTCAAATATTACTTTCTTGCAAATCAGTATACATTTCAGTGTGATATTCGAAAGTGAATTTAGGGGAGAAGGGGGAAAGGGGCTGGTTGGGATTTTTAAGAGAACTACCACCTGCAGATGTGCAGTCTAAAAAGGCAAATTTTCCTAAACTCCCCTCTAAGTCATGCTCAGAAACACATTACGGAGTTACAGGGCATCATCGCAATAAAGCAGGAACCCCCCCCCCGAATTTCCTGCAGGTTAAAGGCACCAAAGATCGCAGCCTGAAGCAAAGGGGTGTTTAGGGAGGCAGGAGCCGGGAGAGCCCCGCGGCCACCAGAGCAGCGCCCGTCCGGCCGGCCCCGTCCAGCGCCCGCCGGGCCCCGCTGCCCCAGCCCGGCCCCGGCCCCGGCCCCGGCCCCGCGGTACCTGCGGCGGTCGCTGCCGCGGGCCCGCCCTCTGCCCGGCGCTCGCCCCAGCTCAGGAGCAGCACGTAGCGCTCCATGGCCGGCCGGCCCCGCGGCCGGCGCCGCTCCGAAGGTCCCGCGCTGCCGGCCGGGCCCGCCCTCCGCAGGGCAGCGCTTCCGCTTCCCGCGGCCCCGGCGCGGCGCCGGCCGCGCCCCCTGCGCCCCGCCAATGGCGAGTTACAGCAGGGCGGCCCAGGTGAGCGCGGCCTCATGGCCGGGCCCGGGGCCCTGAGGGAGCGGGCGGGCACGGAGGGTTCCCGGGCTCCCAGGGGAGCGCCCCGGGGCTGCCCCTTGGTGTCCGTGCTGAGGGCGCTGCTGGCGGGAACCGCTGTGTGCGACGTGTCTGGGGAACCGGGAGTCCCGCGGCTCCGGAAAGCTGCGTGTGGGGGAGCTGTGCCCTTCACCGGGAGGGAAGGAAGCCTTGGGCGTTTAATATCCTGCAGCGATGTTACGGTTCAAGTGGCGATAACGGAGGCTTGCAGCAGATCTGCATGTTTGAAACAAAGGCCTAACCAGTGACCTATGGCTGGTCGCCTGTCACTGGTGTTGGACATGTACATCGCACCGCAGTGGCTGTATCGCGCTGCTCTGTCCTTTTAAAGGTTATTTGAAGGGGTTGCTGCTGCGTATCAATATTTCTTCTAATATTTTTCAATGTAAAAGAAATGTTGATTTAGTTGAGGAAGATAGATTGCGGTAGTGTGAGCTTTTCCTGTGATGAGTACTGACCCTCTTTCTTTTCAGCAATGGGCTACTTTTGCCAGAGCCTGGTACCTCCTCGATGCGAAGATGCAGCCCCCAGGAAAAATAGCAGCTGCCACTGTAATCAGACTCGAAGGCAGACATAAACCTATTTATCATGCACTAAGTGAGTATTGCAATGGATGAAAGCAAATTTGCTTTTCTTCACATGTGTGTCTCTTTCAATTTCAGTTTTAAAATCTAGCCTGGTATAAAAGATTGCATTTCTCAATTGTTTATAAATTATAAATTAATTGGTTTTCTTTCTCATCTTTTTTTGTCATACCCCTCCAAAACCTAGTGTTGTTTCTTTACCAATACATATAAAGGATGCTATGAATTTGTAATTTATTTTGAGTAACTGAATTACAGTGGGTTGTTTTTTCATTTTTTTTAAAAACCTCAGAACATGTTTTATTGATCTTAAATGTTAAGATTTAGTTCACAGTGCACATAAAGAAACATCTGAGTGCTTCCTTTCAGTAGGTGTTCAGGACCAGAGTCTTGGAGTGCTTCATTCTGAATAAGGTGCAAAGAAGTCCTGTTTTCATGAGGCAGTGGGTACAAACTGAAACACAGGATACTCTGAACATCAGATAAGATATTTTTTACTGTGAGAGTAATGAGAAGTCATTGCCCAAGAGGTTATGAAGTCTCCATCTGTGATTTTCAGAAGCTGGTCCTACTCTGAGCACAGGGTTTAGATGACATGACCTTCAAAGGCCCCTTTCTGCCTCACACATTCTGTGGTGAGGAGGCTGGGACCTGTCTGATTCTTAAATGGGCAACAATCATTATTGAAAGATACCCAGTTTAAATAAAACCATTATTTTGTTTTTCTGAAAATTAGAGATTCAGCTGTAAAGATGCATCTGTAATCCTGTTCATTACTTGTAATGATGTAGTGCCTGTCTCATGGGGATAAGCATTTTATAAGTAATAAAAAGTTGATCTTTCACACCATGACACAAGTGTTTCCTGTAATACCCATGCAATTTTTCCCAGAGACATTACTGAAACATAAAGGAAGCCTTGAAGTTAGATCATATATGTTGAAGTGTAGGTAGTAAGATTATACTCAAACTATTTCATAGTAGGAGGTAGGATTTGTAGTGTTGTAAAGGGTTTTAAATATCAGAGTTCTGCTGTTGCAAATTTTGTTGTATCCACAAGATGTCACTGGAGACTTAAGGCTGACTTGAGCAATAAAGCAGATGCTGAGAGGAGAATGCTTTGGTTACTCTGTGTGAATGACCTGTGATACTTTCACGTCTGTGAAGTTACAAAGTCTTGGCAAGTATTTCAAGGATAACTTCATTTTGTTAAAAATACTCTGTAAATCAGTACTAATTGCTTTACACCAGCTTGACACCAATTGGTTGGTTACTACTACCGAGACATTTAGGAAAGCGAGCAGGAGCTTGGGGTTTATGTACTTGATGCTTCTTTTGCTTGTTATTTTGAGCTATCAAATACTTCAGTGTCTGTGAGATAACGGCTCCTGGGACAGAGTAACATCAGGGGGATTTTTTTGTTGTTTTGTTTTTAATTTGGTATTAATATTTGTTAATTCAGTATTCACATAAGTGGAAGACTATTGGCAGAAATTTCCTTAAGATGAGCTTATTGTGTCATCTTCCCAACCAAAACACCAAAAAATCACAAAGTCTAGTGTCAGTTCCCTGATGTTTATGAAGACATACAGTGTTTTTACAACTGAACTGTCAGCAGTGAAAGGCTGCAGCGACAAAGATGTGTAAATTGCATTTGCACTTCAGCTATAGTTGAAAGTGGAGTGTTAAAAGAATACAAGATTAAAAAATAATAAAAACCTTAAGTTGTGAAACTTGCTTTGATTAATTACGTGCTCCTATAAAACATGCATGGTTAATTTAAGCCCTGCTTTGTTACTACTCAAAATCAAGTGAGCCTCTTCAAATACTTGTGTTCTAATATGGTGATGCAAATGAGGCTGAACTTCAGACAAATTTTCACTTTAGTTGAATGGGTGATTTTAGCTTATACAGCTGATCAAGATCATTACTTCTGAAATTAAAAACTACATCTTTTCTCCTATTTATGAGATATTTTTGAGATAATAGAGGTTTTGTTAGCACTTTATTACTACAGAAGCCCTATTAAACTGTTTCTGGCAGGGTGTTGGTGATAGGTTATAAACTTTGCAGTTAAAGAACTTTTGATGTTAAAGTTGCTGATATAACTCTAAACATAGGTGTATATGCTGGAACATTTGCTTCTGTTTGATAGATGAAAATGTGGGTTTTTTCCCAACAGGGTTGTTAGGGGTGGTGTTTTTAGGGCTTTTTCCCTCTGCCACTTCCCTCATTGCAATATTTTTGTTTGTTTTATATATTTAGCCTGAGAGTGTAACTATTTAATAGAAATACGTTACTTACTCAAAATGTTCATTCCTTCAGTAAACACAGATACAGTTTTTATGAGAAAGTAAAATATTTTTTTTTTAATATAGGTGCATATGCAGCATAATGTGTTGAATAGAACAGAAATTTTCCAGTAAGCCAGATTTCCAAATCTTAGCTGAATAATTGCAATGGTTTAGTCATCTGGCCTGATGGTATTTTGCCTGCTTACCTGCCTTCTAATGCAATAGTACTAAAAATAGTAATTAAGGTTGGTATTTAAGTGCTGATTTGGATGGTGTGACTCAAAAAGCTCAGTTTTATGGAAGGTGTATTTATATGCTACTGTTTATGTATTGCACACATAATAGTTGTTATTTTGGTTGATTCCCTCTGTGGTTTTCTTTAGTATTCTCCATTTATTTCTACCTTGTAGATGACTGTGGAGATCATGTTGTCATCATAAATACCAGACATATTGCCTTCTCTGGGAACAAATGGGAACAGAAAGTATATTCTTCACATACTGGGTAAGCTTTATAGCAAATAAAGCTTGTGGTAATGAGCTTGTGAAAATTTCATGTCGTATTTTCTTAATAGTTGAAGTCTTTTTTAGCATATTGCTTTAAAAGGGAATTCCTGCTTTAACTTTTAGGGATTTTTTTTGTTTGCATGTGTTACAATGTTTAAAATGGTGTAAACCTTTTTCTCCTTTCTTTTTCTTTTCTTTCTTTTTATTGTTTTGGTTTTGTTTTTTTTATACCCAGTGTATGTTGTTAGGCAAATAATCTAACTCAAAAATAGTCAGAACAATGGAATAAGTTAATAGATTTGATGAGTGAGGTTGTGTCTTATGTTAACCTCTGGGCTATTCTGTCTACTGTGTAATAGAAGATATTTCTATTGGCACTGCACATTTAAGATATATAGTCACCAACTTTAATTACTTTGTCCTACTAGGACCTATTTACCTAACCGTAAATATGGAATCAGAGGATGAAAAAAAGTTGGAAAAACAATTAAAAAATGAAATGCTCTCAAGCTGTACTGATGTACAGTACATTGTTATATATAGTTGTGTAAAATATATTATCCTGGCAGACAACTTGTTTATAGTAGAGAGTGCAATAATCAACTACAGACAGGGTATGGATGATCAGTGCTCCTGTTTTATTCAACTTAATAATCTCTGAGTGTCACAGTGTATCCAATTGAGAGATGAATAAATTACTGAGAAAGCTAATTTTGCTAGTGCTAATGGTGCAATCCTGAAATTGCTGAATTGCTGAGAAATTCTTGTTCAGATGTGATGGAAATTATTGTGTTCTTCTTTTTTTCTCCATCTCCCCTATGACCTAAAATTTTCTCTAAAAACTTACGTGTTAAGTTAAAGCACTTGTTTAAGTACCTAAGTTGGTTTTGAATAAGAAGAATTGTACATTTAAAACCAATACTTAAGTCCATGCAGCTCAGTGGACATGTCTTCATGATGCTGGGCCTATTTTCATTTCACTTAGGCAGATTCCTAATAATGTAATTCAATCGAAATTAAACCCAGCTTTACCTGATTTCCATGTAATTTCTTACTCCATGCTATCATTCATTTAAAGATTATGCATAAATCTGAATTAGTGCAGCTTCAACTTGTCATATAGACTTTAGAAAGATGGATCCATTGCAGTAAAATTAAAATTTTATTACTCTAGATATGCCAAGTCTTCCTAGGATTTAGAAGAGCAAGAAAATAATACATACAGTTAAAAATGGATGTCTCTCCTGTCAGCCACAGACTGATTGTGGGTCTTGATCATCTGGAAATATTTCAGAGTTCTGCATATTTTATTCCTGTTGTATTCTATAACTGTTATGGTGTATTTAATAAGCAGTTTTAAAAATACATTCCTCTGCTTGTGAAG